GAGAGTCAACCCACCGCGCACAGGGGTGCCCGTGCTGGGCGCCCACTGGGGGTCCAGAGCATCGACGTCGAACGACAGGTGAATGGGAGTGTCGTTACCCACGTGCGCCAGCGCCATCTCCACCACGCGACCGATACCATAGCTGTGGAGTTCATGTCAGACGAAAACGAACCAACCACCCAGAAGAGCAGACTTACCGGTCCACATCGTGCATGCTGAAGGCCTTGATGCCGTGCTCGCGCAGCAACTGCTTCTCGCCGCGGTCGACGTCCCGCAGACCAATGTATACCAGCTTGCGGGTGTTGACAATGTGCTCATCCTTCAACCAGCCGAAGATGTCGGGACGCTCCTCGCGGGCCAGGCGCGTCAGGAAGGCCATGGGCATGCCGTGGATGTTGCCGCTGGGGCTCATCTCGGGCACGTTGATGTCGGCGTGGGCATCGACCCAGATGACCGCCATCTCGCGGCCCAGACGTTCGCGGATGGCCTTGGCGGTGCCGGAGATGGTGCCGATGGCGATGGAGTGGTCACCACCCAGGGTCAGCACGAACTTGCCCTCCTTGGCGTGCTCGTAGACCTGGTTGCTCAGCGCCTCGGTCACCGCGCTCACCGCCCGGGGCTTCTTCATGCCGCGGTGGTCGGGGTCCTCCGTGGGCATCTTGTCCTCGTAGTAGTGGACCTTGTCGTCATAGTGCAGCTCGTAGCCCAGGTCGTCGCGCAGTTGATCGAGGAGTCCGGCTTGGACGAGGGCCATGGGAGCAGCCTCGACGCCCATCTTGCACTAAATTTCGTCACAGCGTTCCCGGTTAGTCTTGCTCTTGCTTGCGCCGCCCGCTAGACTCCGCGTGGATCGGCGGCGGCGGCGGCGGCGGCGGCGGCAGGACTAGAGTGAGGGGAAACGTACCTGACCGCCATTGAAGCCAACAGCCACTACACCCAGCTCGTTGGGCTTGGAGAGGAAGCGCTGGCGAATAGTGGAGGGAGAAGTCATTGTGTATGTGAGAGATGAGGAGGGAGATAAGCGTCGTAGGAGAAGGAAGAGGGAAGGAGAGAGAGAGGCGTGAAAAAGAAAGAAAAAAAGTTCTAGAAGAGCGGGACCCGCGCTGATGAGATAAGATCAAATCAAGAATCGGGTGGGGAATCAACTGGAGCCGGGCAAGGAACGGGTGGACCACGGGCAACAACAACAACAACAACAACAACCAGGGCAGAGCAAGAGGCAGAGTGAGAGGCAGAGGAAGCGGAGGGATACTGAGAAAGATTTCAAGGAGGTGACGAACAGTGAGATGATGAGGAAGAAGTCAAAGAACTTCACAAAGACAGGGGGTATCGGAGCAGTTTATAAAACCTGGCCAAAGGGTGGTCGTGGGGCATTGTGATCGCTAAGACCTGCTTTTAGGGATCAGGACTTCCCCTAAGTACAGGTCGAGGAGAGATGCCCGCCTCGGCCTTTCCAAACCATCTCCACCCCCCTTTCTATTAGCAATCGTTTTCGGACTCCGGTCATTCTCGGGCTGGCTTACAGCTATTATCTTACTGATAAGGACAGATCACTCAGGTTTGTAAGTTGTGGTTAAATCCGACGGGTGGTATCGTCATTATCGTCATGCATGAGCGGGCTCAGCTCCGCGGACTCAGCTCCGATCTAGGATCTAGCTACTCTGTACATACGCACTGTACTCGTACATCGGCACTGCTATACATCTATTTCGCTCCCTCCAGGATCAGTTCCCGCAATATTGTATCAGCCTTGGGCGCCTCCACCCGCCCTTTCTCTCCCATGCGCATCATCTGTCCTACAAACCAACCCAGTTTGCCCAGTTGGTTCTTCTGTCGAATCTGCTCAACCATCGATGGGTTTAGTGCAATAGCTGCCTCCGCCAATGCGATGTATTCCTCCCGCGACAAAGGCCGCAGCAACAGATTCTCTTCCTCGAGCAGCTGCGGGATCGAGCGCTGATCCCCGTCAAACACCAGAGCCAGCACCTGCTTGGCCGTGGGACCAGTGATGAGCTTTCGTTGCAGATGGTCAAGCAAAGAGGCTAGAGAATCGGCGGGGATGGGCTGTGAATCCCAAGCCAGTTCCGCCTTGGTCAGGAGGCCGCCCAGTTCGTGCAGCACCCAATTGCCAGCCAGGCGCGCCAGTGCCTGCTGCGTCTTCGAGTCCGTTTCCGGGTGCTGTTGGCGCAGGAGATCCACGACATGCTGATAGTATTCTAGTCGAGCACCGTCGTCTAGCTCTACAAGCGGTTTGGCATCTTCAATAGTCAGCCCATATTCCGCTCCGGTCAATAGACTGAGAAGCGCATCAGAGCCTGTTGGCAGTGTCCGTCTGAGCTCCGAGATCAAATCCTCCCCAATATAGACCGGAGGGAGATCAGGATCCGGCATGTAGCGGTAGTCAACCTCTCCTTCCTTGCCACGCAATCTGCGCGTCTCAGTGCTGCCGATGGTCCAGCCACGGGTTTCACCTTCCACCACACCACCGCTCTCCAAGACAGCTATCTGGCGATTCTTCTCGGCGATAATGGCGTCCTCGACGGCCTTGAAGCTGCTAAGGTTCTTGATCTCCGTACGCTGTCCCAGACCTCCGATCCCGCCATACTGATGGTTACCGGCAACGTCGCCCCTTTGACGGATGGAGACATTGACATCCGCCCGCAAACCACCCAATTCCATACCAGTTATAACCGCACTGCAGGATTGTAGGATCGACTGAATCTTTCGCACACAGGCCGCCGCGGTGGCCGGCGTGTGAATCTGGGGCATTGTAATGATCTCGATGAGCGGGTGGGAGACTCTGTTGAAGTCGAGCAACTGCGTCGAGGGAGGGTACTCCTGAGACTTGGCCGTATCCTGTTCCATCTGAATCTGCTTAATGCCGATGCGCACGTGGTCTCCATCCTCCGGGGCGATTCCATCATGACGGAAGAGATCCACATAACCATTCTTCGCCAAGGGTTCTGCAGGGCATTAGTCCGCTGACGGCAGAAGCTGCAGCTTGCGTGACCGTCTTACCATAGTACTGCGTGATTTGATACCCGGCCGGCTGGTCTTGATAGAAGTAGTGCTTTCGATCGAACTTGCTGACGGGCTGGATGTCACAATTGAGAGCAATGGCGGCGCGCAGGGCGGGGAGGAGGGTTGCGATTTGGAATTCCTAATCAATTATCAGGTGTCAGTGGTTTGATGTGGTGAGCATGTGGTAGAGGAGTAGAACAAACCGGTTGACTGCCGGGAAAGGCGAGATCGAAGAGGGCTACATTGGAGTTGGGGAGTTCCGCCGATGAGGTCGGCGCTTCTATTCAGGGCGAGGCTCAGTCGACTGTAAGTCCTTGAGTTAACGAGTTCACCTACTGGAAAAAAGTTTGGCCTCGGTGTTCAGCTGCGCGTGGATCTCAATTCCCACTGTCAACTCCCATTTTTGGCGGGATGCTTCCTCGTCCTCGCGAGTCTGTCGTTTGCGCGCCCTGAGCGATTTGGCGTCCTGTTTGAGCTGCTTGCGCAGGGGAACCCGGTCTGTTGACTCAGGGACTGCCGTAGTCTGAAGGGATCGTCGGGGAGAAGCGAGGGTGGCGGAAGGGAGAAGGGATTGTTGAAGCTGTTGCTGCGGCAAGCGGCGGAGGAGATGAAGGCATTGCGGGCAAGTGAAGGAACGAGTGGCTCGCGGCCCTTGGCGCAGCCATGGTCGCAACATGGCGCTCTGGCAGAGAATAGGAAATAATGGCTGCGTTGACGCAAATAACTCACTTGTCGATCAGTGGCTAGTAATGGGGTCTGAATGGAGAGATTGGCACCAATTGGTGGTTCTTTCAGTCGGAAGAAGATAGACGGAGCAACGACGATACACGATAACTACCGTACTATACAAAAAGTTACAGCGGGTACAATACAGTAAGGCCGACGGCGGTGGACAACTCACCGCTTAATTAACAATGCAGATAATTTTTCCTTGGAATGAAGTCTTTCAATCCAGAGCTTCCGATTCGCGATGCACTGGAAACTGGAGAAAAGAAGTGTGTGTGGGAGCAACGCCTTGCTGCATGTCATGCTACAGAATGCAGCGTCGGCCTCGCAGTGCAGTCGAGTTGAAACCCCACCAATACAGTCCCAGTCCCAGCTTTGCAGCGTCACTTCATCACCATCCTCATCAACAACATCATCTTGGGAGATGAACTGACATAGCTGGAGGGGGGAGATAGCACAATAGAGGGTCCAAGGAAGAAGGAGGGGTGTGTGTTCGTGGTCATCAGAGTAGACTCAGCAACGAGTCGCCATGAGCCAGCGCAGCAGCAACCTAAGCAGTAGAAGTACTCCGTACTGTACTCCGTAGTTGAGATGAAATGCAATGCAGATGATGAACTTCTTCTTCCCCACACACCAAAAAAACTACTTGCTATTTTTCTCTTTTCTTCTTCCACCCTCCCCTCTTCTCCTTCCTATAACCCCGTCTTCTCTTTCCAGTCCCACCAGCTTGTATCTTTTTCTCTTCTTGTCGAAGCCATCTCTTTTACACACGCCCGCCCATACTCCTGTTTGCCTTGACGCCCCCCTCAGCTCCAACTATAAGCTGGAACCGCTGGGGTGGACGAATGAGAGTCGCTCCACGATCGTCGCAAACATCCAACAATCGCCTACAACGCGGTCTGATTTGATCCCTCAACTGGGTCGACGTGTTTAAGATCTGTCTCGGTTCGAGTTCTTCCCTGTCACTTCCTGCCGACGGGGCGCATACGCATTAATTGGGGTCTGGAACGCCTCGCTGACGGACCATTCCGCGCATCTACATCCATCTAGATATCCATTTCTTCTTACTCTACTATCCTCTCAACCTCAGAGCTACAAAACCAGTCTCGATCTTCAGCAGCTTGCTGAGCATATCTCTATCCAGAAAATAGCCAAACCTTGATCTTAGAAGCAGTGCTCTGCATACTGCAGTCTATCGATCCTCTACACATTCTGTGCTACATTCTCAAGTTTCCCCTCCGCCCGCCGCGTCGCCTGACTGGTTCTTGTGGCCCTCCCTTGATATGCCTCCATTGTTGCCCCCTCCCACCAAATTATCTCATTCTCGAGCCTGCTAGTTGTCTCACTTTCGGCTCCGGCTCTTCCATTGCATTGCTAAAGGGTATAGTTAGTGAATAAGAGGGCTTATCATCTACTGCTCTCAGTTTCGCATCAGTGCTCTTGTGGTCGCGTTGATTTACTTCCAACATGCCACTGTATGGCTCGTCCAGTCGCTCGAAGAAGCCAAGGAAAGATGGTAGCAGTAAATCATCCACGGCTTCTGTTTTTTCGGCTACTTCTCGTGCTACAAAGGCTTCTAGAGCGTCTGGGGATCGGCCGCAAATAGCATCTCAAGATCCATCTTTGGGCTCGAAGAACACCGCTCCGAGCCCGGCAAACGTCTCGCGGACGCATACTTCTGCCAAGTCCGCCGAACCTGAGCGGACCGTTCCGAATGTTTTTGAATATCTAGACGATGATGAGTCCACGTCAGACGAGGATTCCTCCGAAGACGACGACTTCAGATCGCGTCGAGTGTCATACCCATCATCGTCTAGCGCCCAATCGAAGACGGCGTACGTAGGGTTAGGGCGTCAGAGCAAATTGGCTGCACTTGGTGCGGATACACGCAGTCGAACATCGCCCACTATGTCCAAGGGTTCAATTGACTCCCAACCATTGCCGACTGCCTTTGACATCGCTTCTGGTGTGCCATCATTACACAAGATGAAAAGCAAAACATCTTCTCAGAATAAAAAGCCCAACGACATCCCCGCCGGCATATCTGCAGGCTCAAGCTCGCCTGAGAAACGGAGCTTAGAGCTCAGTCCCCGACCCGATACCTTCTATTCGCATCATTCAGCCAGCCAACACCGGCCGCCTCTACCACCATCACCGCCACGAAGCCCGGAGGAAGATTCTCAACGACCCAATCACAAACGCAGCCGTAGCACGAAAACATCACCACCTCCCTCGGGCTACGGCCTCCTCGCCTGGCGTCTGAGCTCATCCACCGACAACCAGGAGCCTCGTCTCCCACCGCTCTATCGCCGATTCGAAGATCTAAACCATCGGGTGCTTCTGCATCTCCAGGACGAGATTGCACAGATGGAGGAAGACCTTCGTGTCCTAGATGAGTACGATCAAATGCATCGGGCGGCTACGGCCGAACAACAGGGTACCACGGTTCTCCCAGCTTCGCGACGCATGGACGTCCAGGCACAGGTTTACTCTTCCCTGCATTACCGCAAGGAAGAGCTGCTGGGCGCACTGGCCCAAAAAACCGAACAATATAGTAAGTCACAACAGACAACATTATCGTTTCCACCTCAAGAGACACTAATCGTATTCCACAGACAATGCGCTCAGTGCATACAGCCGCGTTCTGCAGACTCTTCCGCCTGCTTCAAACAAGGATATCGAAACCTACCGCACCTGGATGAACGAACGTAACCCCATTATTGCTGCAGAGACGCGCTTTCTTAACCACACTAAGGATCTGGTTTCTCTTGCCCCTCGCACGATCTCAGCTTCCTCCGCACGATCCGTGTACGCTGCAATTATCATCGCCTCTGCAGCCGTCATCCTCCCTCTGCTCACTTTCAGCATGATTGCTGAATTTTCCGGTCGTCTGCTGGTGGTGGCCGTTGTAGGCGGCGCCGCTGCTGCCGTTGCCTCCACTCAATCCACGGGAGCAGACCAGCTTGTCGGCTCCCAGGATGGATGGCGATCCGCTTCATTGTATGTTTCTTATACATTGCGTGTTGTTTCACTGGTGATATCATCGTACTAACTTATAACCTTAGATACTTTGGTTTCATGGCTACAGCAGCTCTATTTATTCCATAGTTCCAACAGATACCAACTTTTGGGTGTATATCCACCAGCTTTTACCATCTTCTAATGACTTTACGAATCTTCTTGAGGCAGCGAGCTACTGACATCTTGAATTAATTCTGCTCGCAGATATCTTCCTTGCTTGGATTTGGCACAAATTGCATGGATGTTGCTATTGATGCTTGATGATGCAATAAAAACTTACTTTTGAAAGACCTCTTCCCCCATGTTAAACTTGCCACCACAAATCATGGTGAGGGTGTTACGCCGGTCTTCTGGGTCCCTGATTCGATGTTCCCTTTTTTGGCTTTAGCGACTGGACTAGATGCTTTGTACGCACCGTGAATGATTAAGATGATGAATACTTCATTTTCCCAACTGAAAGGTAATCTGCTCTTGTAAAAGGTTGGTGAGGAGTGGTGGTCAGTACATCTATACACTGATCGCATGTCAAAGTTCACCGGAGCCCTGCCAAAAAGTCGTTGTATGTCATATGGGTAAAGGCTGGGGCAAGCAGACGATTCACAATTGTCATGTGTCTGCACAGAGTGAATTATACCGATTTGACTGACAGCACAGACTCACGGTTCTAAAATAGCTCCACAACTTACCTGCCTGATTTCTCTAACACCCAGACGACCAACCATCACCTACCTCTCTGTTCTCTTCCAGTTGTTCATAATTCGTTGACCCCAACGTATTACTACTGCAACTACTTATTATCGGTGGATACCCAATTCTGTGTTACACCCTTCAGGTCTGTTCGTCTCATCACAGCCTACAACGTCACTCAAGCTCCCAATACATCAGATCCCCCAACTCTCAATAGCTCCTCTGCACCACCAAAATTTCAAAGACCATGACTCGCACAAAAACAAAGAAGAAAATGCAGAACAACGTGGAGGCCTGCTCCAGATTCAAGCCCAAGCCCAAGCCCAAGTTCCACAATGACGCTCAGGGTAACAACGGGTTTGCGTTGGGGAAGCGTCGCCTTCGAGATGCTCCAAGTGACGATGACGATGACGAGGAGATAACCAGCCTTACCTCGAAGAATAGGCAGAAGCGTGTGAGACTTCTCGAGAAGAAGAACCTCCCCGCAGCGATCGTCGTCTCTGCCCCCGAACTCCAAATCCGCGTGGCCTTCACCTTTGCCGAGTTGTGTGCTGCTACCGACCATACTCCGAACGATGCCGACCACGCGCAATTCGACAGGTTCATGGCCAAGGTGCATGACACGGTCGAGGGCTTCGCCGAGGAGGACTACATCATCTACTGGGAGTACGGGGACGCGCAGACCAAGTACAAGGTGACGAACCCCAGCTCGTGGCGTGCCGCTATGCTGGAGATGCGGGACGGTGGCAGTTTTATTGTTGAGATGAAGCCGAAGCAGGAGGCAAGTATGTTAATGAATTCTCTATTATCTTTTTTTTTTCTCTCTTTTTCTCTCTTTCTGGCAGTAAAGTGGTATGAGAACTATCTGGCTGACGTTACTTCCAGGAGACGCGCCGTTTCTAGCTCTCCGGCAGGCAAAGACAGAAGACGATAGTATTGTCCATCGCTTGATGATTCGCAGTGATGAACAGTCTCCTCTTAAGAACATTCAGTGTGGGGATTCTGGGGCAGCTCTACTTCCACTGGCGAAGAGAGATCGTGTCGCCGCACGGGTCCCTGACCGGTATTGCTCTGATGATTCACTCGTTTCAAGCTCTCCGGTCCATCACACCACCAACGATGGACAGATAATCAATTCGGACAAGTCTACAGCCTTTGCAAACAGGGAGGTATAACTATGGATGCAGTGGTGCCAAGATGGAGTTTTGTATCTGGTCTGGGACATGGATGATGGTACGTGGGAAGATTAGGAGAGAGAGATACAGTGTATTCGCTGTTGGATGTTTGTCTTTTTTTCTTTCGTCTCGAGGACAGATGGGTCTTTTGATTTTAGAAGACCTCTCAAGTCATTTCGTGACAGTCGATAAAGAAAGACTTCTACTGATTTGTGAGTGCTCTTGAGTGATAGTAAAATGCTCACGTGTTATGTTGTATCGCGGTAGGCCCAGCTCGATCTGGATTAACTTAGTATCTTCTCCATCTTCAGCTTCTCCATCTTCGTCAACTGCACCATTTCATTTTAAGACAAGACAACGTATGAGGTCTACCAGCCTTATTATTCCTTCAGCTCTTCCACATGGGAAGTCACAATGTGATCGTCGAACGTTGCACTGCAATTGGTCCATGTCCACAGTGCTAAAGATGTCGAGCATCTTAGCGCATCCTTTAGGCAGAGTAACCGGAGTCTAGTCATGACCGGCGCTGTCAAATTAGCGAGGCTGCAGCTGCTCGAATATATTAATCGTCTATTTCTAGTTCTCGGAATCTCCCCCTTCACAGACTTCTCTTTCGCTCTTCGTCCCTTAAAGTCAAAAATGCCCGCCATATCGAACTCAATATATGGAGCCCCTACCACCGTCCGACGGCGCATAGCCCAAACCAAGAGATCTCGAGCAGGCTGTCGCACTTGCCGGTAAGCTCGAACATGCCGGCCACAACCCCGTCCAATCGTACGCTAAAGATTATCACACTCGGTCCGTCAGTCTCCGCAAAGTCAAATGTGACGAAGCTCCTGGGGCTTGTCAACGATGCGTGTCGTCCGGCCGAGTCTGCGATGGCTATGATATGCACCGGTTGCCTGCGGCCACGGGCAGCAAGACCATCGGTGCTGTAGAGCCGCGCCTCCCAGCGTCGATCTCCAGCAACCTATTCAGAGCAATGACATCGGACGAGCGAAGGTGCTTCTCCTACTTCCAGAACCGCGAGATCCCCGCAAATCTGATGTTTTTCGATTCGGCCCTATGGAAGCGGCTCGTGCTGCAGATGGCCCAGGCGGAACCCGCCGTATATCATGCCATGATCGCTTTGAGTGCCGTGCACATGGATACGGAGATCAAGGATGTCTTAGTGTTACACCCCGAGGTACCGCCGGACAGTGTCTTCCACCTCTTTGCCCTCGAGCAACTGGGGCGCTCCTACGCCCTGCTACAACAGCGCTGTAGCTCCCAGGACCCGCAGATCCTCCAGATCACTTTAGTGACTTGCCTGCTATACACCCTGTTCGACATGATCCAGGGCCAGTACGAAACGGCATACACGCATATGCAGAACGGCGTGCGGATCCTCAAGGATGTTGGGCCGTTCAAGCGCCAGCAGGACCCCTACACGGCGAATGACCTCCCGGTCGACGGATGCCTGGTCGCGGGCTTTTCCTTCCTCGACATCGGCTTCATCCACTTCGACTTCGACGGACCGCCCCGCGTGCACCTCAACGAGGGTCAAGACTTCGAGCGGACCATCCTCGCCCGACAGGGGTATATCAGCAGCCTGCAGGAAGGACGACAGGCGTACAACATCATCGCCAGCGCGCTCTCCCAGTTCCTCCCACAAGCCTGGCATCTCTCGGACGCCGACATCGCCGCCCAGTACCACCGGCTCCAGCCGCAGCAGATCCTCCTCCTCTCGCAGACCGGCCGCATGCTCCGGGTCTTCGAGGCCTACGCCGCGCGATCGGCCGGCCGTCTGCCCGCGCCCGAGCAACAGAGCCTGGACATGCTCATCTACCACATCCACGCCTTCCTCCTGGGCCTCAGGATCTGCCTCTTGGGCAGCAACCGCACCGCCCGCGCCGCCTACAAGGCGGACTTTGCCGCCTTGCTCGCCGAAACCGAAGCCCTCATGGCCCGCGTCCCCGACCAGCCCAGCGTCACCCTGGACCTCGGCGTCCTCCCGCCCCTCCACCTCATCTCCACCTTCTGCCCTGACTACCGCCTGCGCCTGCAGGCCTTCCGCCTCCTGCAGACCTGGCCGCACCGCGAGGGCCCCTTCGATTCCGACCTGACCGCCGGCCTGGCCATGGAGCGCATGCGCAAGGAGTTGACGCTCATGCGCGCGACCGACTACGCCCACTCGGGCTATTACTACTACAACGACAGCAGCAGCAGCAGAAGCAGCAACTACGACGGTGACTCCAGCGATATGACGACGCCGTCGCCACCAGCCGGCGAGAAACCACTGACTCCTGCGGAGATTGAGGAGCTTCTCGCTGCTCTCTCCGGGGAGGTGCACCGCTTCTTCAATACGGTGGACGCGCCAGCCGTCGCGACTCGGTGGGCTTGCTTCCGTATCTTCATGGAGAGTGACCAGACAATCATGAACAATATCGGGTGTGCTGTCGCTGTCGATCCGCTCCATGAGGAATTCGCGGGCTGATTGTCTCAAACTTTAGAGCGTGGGTTTACGGATACATACATGCGTGAATATTAATGCGATCCATTATTCAGAGAGGGGGTGAAAGCTTGGATACTGCTCGAAGTCACTAGCCAGCTTTTTAATCCTGTAATATGTCCGTTTCCCAGATCCGGAATGAGCGGAGTTCCAGGCTGGGACCGGAGTATCCTGACTTCAGAAACGAGCATTCGAAGGCTTAGTACTTAGAACGGTATGATATTCTCGTTGAGGGAGGGTTTACATTAGCTAAGCTCGGATAAGTAGTCTCAAAAATAAAGCCGAGTCGCAGTGAAAAAGTACCGGGGGGAATTCGATAAGGAAGACATTGTAGAAGAAGAAAGAGAAAAGGAATACAAAAGTGAACCCATCCAAAGTCAAACAGCCATCCCGTGGAATATACGAGTTTTTTTTTCTCCCAGCATTGTCCGCTATTTCCTCTTCTTCTCCGCGAAATCTAAGAGAATAAGCCGCGAGGAAGAAAGATGGAAATAGTTCAGGAGAAGAAAAGAAAAGCAGTGGAAAGACTCCAGAAGATTGGTGATGAGAAAAAAAAAAAAAAACAGAAATTTAATTATCATCTTCGCTGCGTTCATGAAAGTGAAGGTCTTTTCAAAGAACATGATTCCTTCAATTTAAAACGAGTTATACATCGGGTTGCGGGTGCTGGTTTTCTTTGCCTAACATGCCGGGTGTAGAGCAAGCCACGTGAATGTCGAGGGGCTAGCTGCGTGAAAGGGGAGGATAAAACGACATTGCCACATGATTCTTCATTCCCGTCACCAAGATCTCATCTACTCATGAGGACGCCGGGTCTCCGTTCGGCTTCGGGGTCAGCGTTTTGCCTGACGGCTGGGGTGTTGTGGAGCTGGGCCGGTTTTGCGCATTGGCCGCTAGCTGAGCCTTGTTTCGATCCATCACAACAGCCTGCTCAGCAGCACTCCGCGCGTACGTAGCCGCAGCGGCTGAGTTCGAATAGCCCCCTGCTGGTGGCGGGGCCTGATTAGACGGGTTGTTGCCGTGATGAGGTGGCTGTTGCTGTTGTGGTTGAGGCGGCTGTTGTGGTTGCTGCTGATGCGGCTGCTGTTGCTGCTGCGGTATGTATCGCTGTGGTGCTTGCTGGGGATTCGTCGGCCCCGGAGGTATACTGAATGAGGCTCTCGGGGTTGCGCTAGGCGTCATATAAGGGGGTTTTTGAGGAGATGCGCTCCGGCCGGCTGCCTGGGACGCGTGGTAAGATCCGGGCTGTCCAGGCCGAGGAGTGTAAGGTTGGGGGGATGCCTGAGCGGGAGGAGGACCCTGTGGTCCTGCATATGGATGGTAGCCATTCTGCCCTGGGCGTTGCTGATACGGTGTGCTAGGGTTGCCTTGGTTTAATTGAGGTGCCGGTTGGGAATAGCCGGGATAATAGCCAGGTCTTTGCTGAGGAGTCGCTGGCGGGCGGCCTCCCGCATACTGCTGCGGCGATGCTGAAGTATACGGGGCAGATGTCGAGTTTTGTCTTCCTGCAAAGTAGGGTTGAGCTGCTTGTATGTTGCCTTGAGGTTGAGCCCGTGTATTAGCGCCATACGCTCGTTGGTTGTACTGGGCCTGGTAGCTGGCAGCTCGGCTAGGTGTGGAAGTTCGATTTGCAGGAATAGCAGACGCGCGCTCCTGCTGCATGGTGTAGTCATCCTTCTCCATCGTCCCTTGGTAATCGACACCCTCAATCAGAATTTTCTGGCTGATATTGAGATCAGCTAATTGATCGCCGTCCAGCTTGGCAACAGCATATGGTGGGAGAGTCGAGACAAGCGCCGCTAGACTCGATTTAAGTGTCTCGTAAACGCTTCGCTCCTCATCCGATGGCGCGTCATTCGATCCAGGTCTTGGTGCGACATCAACGGGATCTATCCCATGGATTGCACCACTCGCGGGTGCCAAGCTGCGAATCTTTTGATACGAACTGAGAGTCTCTAGAAGCTCGGAGACATCACGCAGTAGGTCATCCATCTCCCGAGAGTCTTCGTCAATAGACTCACCCGAGGTCTTTTTGCTCTGGGTGATGCTATCTGTCAAGTCCTCTGGGTTGAATGATTTCACCATCTCCTCTAAAGCGCTCTCATCGAGCTCGCCTATATTGCCCGGCTGCACGGTTGATACGTCATTCTCATCTTCTGGGATTGCCATCGAGACAAGTGTGTACAGGCGTCTAGCTCCACGCTTACTCCACCATACCAGGTCTTTCGAGTCGGCTTGAACAACAGAACCTGAACTATCGAACGATGGGGCAAAGGAAGAATATACACCTTGCCAGAGCGCAATATCTTCGTCTGTAGATGGCATAGGGTCATCGGGAAGCTTTTCGTCCTCGTGGTGCTCTGAATACTGCTTCTGACGACGACTCCAAAAGGAGGGTGATGAAGTGACCCCACCGTACTGCAGCCAAGAGCCAGCAGGAAGTCTTGCAAGACAATAGTTGTTGCGGTCACCCAGAAATGATTTGTAATTCGTGATGGATTCGAACGGGTCGATCCAGCCACCTGAAGCATTACGAGGAGTAGTTCCCGTTTTGCGCGGTGCTTCTAACTGAGGCAACGTTGCACATGGTGCAAATACCTCGCCGAAAGTTCTTTTGGGTTGGTTTGATTTCGCTTCCAAAATGATCGGTACCACCTTTGTGGCTGTGATCCCGTTCGGAAGGCCGCCCTCAGGCAAGGGCGCCTGCACCTCGACGTACTTGTCCGCGCCTGGATCATCTGATTGTAGTGGGACCTTGACGGTCTTCTGTAGACTCGAGTAGAGCTGTTTCGGGTTTGCCGGATTTCCAAACAAGGTCAGAACCGCGCTTTCATTCCGGGTTTCAACGTTGGACGCAGTGGTTTTGATCGGGGCTTCACCATCCTCTGGTGCTTCGGTTTTGACAGTGGTCTGGCTCATCTGTGCTTGACGAACCAAGCTATTCAGGAGCTTCTTGAAAGCAGCAATGCGATTGACGGTTTCCGTAAGTGGGGTTCCGTCGGCAGGCGCAGCAGTCGCCTGGGCTTTGTTTCTCTCAATCACTGCTGCAGAGGCCCTTTCGATGTCGCTCAAGAACTCCGAGAGGGTGTTATAGCGATCCGACGCGACCCGAGCTTGTATACTCGAGCTTTCATCCTTATCACCCGAGACCTTTGCGCGCTTCGAACGGGGCTTCGCCGGCGACGATGGCAACGGACAGGATAGAAGATGTAAATCCGAATCGTTTCTGAATGAAGGTAATGATCAGTCATCTCTCTTTGTTTAATCACCAAGTGGGCTCAGCGCTCACTTGCTCAGAATCTCCACCAGGTTTCGCAAAGTCTCCTGCAGTTTGGCTCGTTCCTGCGATTGCGCCGCAGCGGCAGTGGCATCCTGGGCGGCCTTGTCGTCGTGACTCGAGACACGCTTTCGCTTGCCCGGTGTTGCCAACGTGGATGGCTCAGGACTGTTGGGAGGTTGTTCGCCATTTGTGGCCGGCACTGCGGCCGTCCCTCCGCCTTCATCGGCACTCATGACGAATCAGTTGCGCCGCGATTCAAGTATTTTCTCGAGACGGCAATTTGAGGGATCGGGGCAGTTTCCCTTCAAGTTGTTTGATTGTTTGTTTGTGGGTTCTTGCTCACTTGAGAAAGTGTTGAATGTTAGAGGACACGGGATATTTAGAGCGCGAGGAGAGTGGACTTTTGATCCCTTGACCGGATTGAATCGACGATGAGCGTTGTAAATAAAGAGCAAAATGGGGGAAATGGAAAGTTAATGAGTCGATGATTGAGCGGTTCAGAGTCTTCGAAGTGGATGCGCCAATGGAGATTGACTGGACCGATTTAAGGAATAGTGCGCAAGCAGGGGAGGATCGGGACAGTACTCGACGCATATGCCCGCGCTACCGCGTAAGGTAAATTGAACCAAAGTGGGTGTAGGGGATTTTCGGCGCCAGTACGGAGTACGGTACGTACAAATTGCAGACGGGAAGAGTGGATGGTGGTTTAGCTTGGCAAAAGAAAAACAAAAATAAAAAAAAGAAGAGCACGACTGCGGGAATCAAAGGATGAATTCTGGCTCCATTGAGAGAAAGAGAGAGAGTTAACAGAGGATCGACAGAAAGACCGAACAGATAGACGGACGGACAGTGAGGAAAGAGAGTGAGGGAGGGAGAGAGCAGAGCGAGAGCGAGAGCGAGAGCGAAAGCGAGTCTCCGCCCGCCGCCCTCGGGACTTCTGCGCGTGACAGTATTGATCACGTGATATTGGTATTTTTCCCCAATTGGATCCTCCATCCAAATCCATGTGCTTTGCGCTTTCTGAAAGTTCCACTCGGCTTCAAAGTTGCCTCCTTCACCTTCGCTCAGATAAGCAACACTCGCTTCACGGCTACTACTGTTATAGCTCAACTCGATGACCTTTCTTCATGGATGTCATCGGTCGTCAATTATGTGTCGAGCTGCTCGAGAGCTTTCTCTCTGAGAGCGGCGCAATTGCCCAACAGCTGTACATCACCGAAGGTACCCAACAATTGAAGAAGAAAATCCCGTAACCTATGCTGAAGCCTTTCCCTCTACAGGTGCCATACTATAACGGCTACCGCTGTACCTTACCCCCTACTAATCCCACATTGGCCTGTCCTATCCCAAGATATGGTCTATCATTTCGATACATACACATACACCGCAAGCTCGGATCTACAACCGATGCATCCGATCAAAGCTCCCAATCAGTGCCTCAAGAACCGGGCACTCCTTTGCCATGGCTGACTCCTCGGTTTTGGAGGAATCTACGTCTCCAGTCATCCTTGAATCAAGCTTTCGTTGATCCGCGTGCGGATGATGAGCGGGCCAACACCGACTCCTCCAGGTCGACCGTCGCAAGCGCTGCAAAAAACGGGGAAACTACAGACAGAACCCAACGCTCGGACAGAGGAGCATCGGGTATACGGATGGATGATTCTTGTGAAGAGTATGGGTACGACGCACCAGGTCAGATTGTGACCGAATCCACTCTCCGGTCGACGCCTCTCTCTTCTGCGAATCGTGATGGACTGGACATCGACCGGCCAGACACTGTTCAAGACTCGACTAAAAATACCAGAGCAAACCCCCACAGACAGGCCAAACGCCTGAAACGTTCCAATCCGTGGGGTTATGCGCCTGATCTTACTTCTACAGAGTACCTAATCCTCTCGATCTATAAGGCACACGACCCAGAGAATCGTCATTGGGCGTGTGAAGAAATTGATGATCTCCAGCTTAAATACAGTCAGGCGGCCATGTCACACTACAAAGCCTTCCACCGCATAACATTACAGGAGATTGTCGCAGACTACATACTGAATTTGAACCCCCTACTGGACCAATTTGGCGTACAATGCAAGGAACTCTTGGATCCTAGTCCGCAGCACCTCTCCCAGTACTCATGGAA